TATAAAAACAGCACAGGATATCCGAGCAAGCAAATTCTTTCTAAGAAAATTTTGAAAATTAGATATCCAGATTGGTGACTCAGTCAAACTCAGACATCCACGGAGGGAAATAAAAAAAAGATTAGAAGCTGTTGCTTTGTCTGGAGAGTTTATATGAATGAATCCCATTACAATTTATCTATTTGTGTATTCTTCTGAAATAGTAAATAAAGCAGAGAAAGAAATTTCCATTTTCATGTTTTGAGTTTTTTCATGTTATATTGCTTTCTTAATGGAAGCTTTCGGTATTAGCAAAAAAGAATTTCAACAAAAAAGCATTCACAACTTTTGTTCAAATCAGAAGACGCAAACTTTCTTCTATTTAAATTATTTGGACTTTTATTCATCATAACAGTTAAAGTATGTAAAACAGAACAAAATCTCATTCTATAAATATGTTATTGTTTGATTGGATAAGGATTTTGTAGCCTAATTCCCTCCCCCTCTCCCCAGAATAAAAACCCACCTCATAATAGAAGCCCACTGAGTTCAAAATGTGTACATATAGAAGAATTGAAAACTTGATTGATTTGGTTGATAATCCTCACTGTTTTGAATAAAATAATCATATGCTCGTTGATCTGATTCTTTCACTCTGAATTATTTTTTCTTGCTGGGCTGATTAGCTTCGCGCATCACCGATGTCATGTCAATAATTCTGCTGTTAAACAATATTTTTTTCTTTTCTGTCTTCTAATTTGTAATATATAGAGGGATGTTCCGGATAGGGAACAGAACAGAAGTCGTCCTCAATCTTTGAAAATTGCGGTTTTTTACTCGGCGATTTATAAAAATTTTTGAGAAGCTTTTTTTTAAAAAAATTTTCGATAGATTCTTTGAAAATTTTCAACAAAAATCATTGATCCCCTCAAGTTTTGCCACTTCGAGATATTCATAAATATATAAATTCGTATGCGTGTTGTAAGGTCCTCAAAAAGTCACTTTTTGTCACATTAGTCGTAATTAAGGTTAAATGCATGGAAAGATAGCCTGCGATATTATCTTAAGTAAACGACAAAATTTTTACTCAGCATCTCATTTTTTACCAAAATTTTTGAAGATTTCTGTCATGCCCTATTTGAAAAATAAGTTGTATTCAGAAAAAACAAAATCTTTTTCGTGTTTTTCTCCGTTTATTATTTCTTGATCGTAGAATCCAAATTTCTCTGTCAATACTCATTCTATATGTTTAACTTTTTTTTTGTCTGAGAGAGCACGTCAAGACGCCGTGCAGTATACAGCCCTTTCGTTTGATTAAGCTTTACTTTTACTATATGTACAAATATTTATATGTTTATGGGGCCATTTTAATGAGTCCTTTGAGTCATTTAACTTTCAAACCTTTTTCTCGCCTTAAAAATAAGAGTTTAAAAGGAAGCGCTCTGTACTGCAATGCATTCTGACATGCAGTTTCAAACAAAAAGAAATTAAATGTATAAAATGAAACTGAACAGAAAAATTAGGTTTGTCAAATGAGCTATTTTTTTACCTTTGTGTGCACCATATCGCCCTCAAACGTTATGATATTGAGCTGGAAGTTTTACCATTGAAAATGTCATGCCATTTGAACGTTCCTGGACTGAGATTAGTTTTTGAGGAGATCTTAAGCCATTTCTTACAATGTTAGTGCGCTTCTTCGTGAGAACAGTTTTTAAATTTTGCTGTGGAAGACGAAAAAAATGGGTCGAAATAGAAGTCAACCTTCAGATTTATAATTTTCAAAACTTCATAGAAGCCCAATGGGGTTTGATTCTGGATGGGGTTTATTGAAGCATGCCTCACAATATGTGAAATTGATAAGGCTGTGAATTTCTCGAAAAATATATTAACATTGACTAATACGAATGGCTTATGAAAGATCACTTAGCCATACACTTTTAGCTGCATATTACACTGAAATGATTTTCTTAACATCAGAAAACAATTGTTTTTAGAATAAACGTTTATCAGTATAGTTTTTGCATTCTCTATCGTTATGAAATCATGTTTGAATTTGTTGACGGCAAGTGATCACGTGGCCATGCACAATGAGAACGAACAAAATCGTTTGTTTGCTGCGATAGTTGTCGTCACATGCTTTTGTGTTTTTCTTCATTCGTCGACGTTCTGTTGTGTATTTTTATTTGTACATGTTGTTTCTAAATGAGGGTTGAAGATGTGCGTAGACGTTAATACATAGATGAAGAGTATTTGACTTTTTTATTCAGATAATAAGGCATGGAATCGGCAGCAACTAAGAAGCCCTGTATTAGATGTACTAAAAGTGGAGGAATTATCACATGTGGTGGTTGTCAACAATGGTTCTGTACAAGACATCTGCTTGAACATCGAGAAGAACTTTCCGTACAGATGGATCAAGTCGGTCAAGAACATGATCTTCTACAACGTGACCTGATTTCAGAGAAGAGCATACATCCACTTGTAACTCTCATCAATAAATGGGAAAAAACTTCAATTGAAAATATTCGAGTCGCTGCACAAGATGCTCGAGATGATCTACAGAAATATCTTGACCGTACCAATATTCAAGTGAAGACAACACTCTTGTCAATAAATAAAGAATTAAAAGTCAGTCGTGAATCTGATGATTATACAGAGTTAGATTTGATCAGATGGATGCAACAATTGGCAGAACTTCGAGAGATACTCGAGAAACCATCCACTATCGATTTTGTTGATGATGATCGGACGCAGCCTTTGATTCATCGAATTCAAATGAAACAACGCGAGGCAACACATACACTAGTTAGAAGATCGGAAAAAGCTCTCATTCGAACAAATGCAAGTAAGTATCTCACCGTTAACTAGCGAGGTTTTTAGATATAAAATAGTCAACCTAAGAAGATAGATTTTGAGTTTGACATATATACTTTGTTAAGCGCATCTAATAAGTCTAAATATGGTATAAAATGCAAATCTGTTTTAATTTTGTGTCAATTCATGGCTCATAGATTAAACTTATACAACAAGACTAAATTCATTAGATATAGGCTAGCGACGTTAAGAATGAATATTCCAGCAATCTTGTTAGTTGAAAGACTCTTAAATATGCTATGTTAGCTGAAGCAATCGTGACTATATCAGAAAAATAGTTCTTTGAAACTTTGAATCAATGCTTTATTAGAAGAAAAAAAACTGTCAATCAACTGAAATAAAAGCTATGCAAAATTTTCTGATGTCTTAGGCTCCCCGCATATTCAAACCATTGCTTACTTTTCTTCATCCCTGTAGCACTACTTCATGCAATAACAGAAAGCATTGAACACAATGTCTTTTGAAAGAAAAAATGCAAAGCTATACTTCGAAAACTGAAAGAGATCTTTTGGCATCAAGGAGACCGTTGTTATTCTGGTCCACTGATCACAAGAGTCCATCCTCCAAATATTTTTACTTCCTTTGCCTCTTTCTTGAATTTGTACTTCTGACGTGCGCTTGCTAAGTCCTTCTCTTATGAATTTCCAGTGAAATTTCCACGAGGATGATTTTGTGTATTTTAGTTTCGCCTTAAATGCCAAAATTTCTTTTGATTGTGCTCTTTCGTTCACCGAGTGCCTATGAATATGAATCTGCCAGTTTTCGCTGTAGGTAGATGAGAAGATTTTTGTTATAAAAACAGTTGAGACTGCATTAGTTGAATAGTTAAATGATAAAAAATCTCATAGATAAGTAGAATCCTTTGAAAAGTTGATAGTTTGATTAAGACAGATAAGTATCTTGAAAGAGATCGTTAATACGGACAGCTATTACAATAAAGCATTCGTCGTTCGATTCAAAATGACATGAATTTTCTTCATCTTCGTTATATATTCTCAATAGAAATTTATTCGCATAACTCAATGATTTTCGTTACAGTGCTATCTCTTGTAAATATTCCTCACAATGCCAATTGGGAATCCAATGGAATCACCGTCGCTGGTGGCAACAGAAAAGGTCCTTTATCAAATCGACTTTCTCAACCTATTGGTCTTTATGTAGATGATGATCAAACGATTTATATAGCGGACTATGGCAATCACAGTATTGTAGAATGGAAATGTAATGCAACAAGTGGGAAAGTGGTGGCTGGCGGCAATGGGCCAGGAAATGGAATTAATCGATTAAATAATCCAACCGACGTGATTGTTGACAATGAGACAAATAGTCTTATCATTTGTGATAAGGGAAATCGGCGAATTATGCAATGGTTTCGTCGCAGTGGTACAAGTGGGCAATCAATTATCGAGAATATTCACTGTAGCAGATTGGTGATGGATGACCAGAGGTTTCTGTATGTCACGGACAATAAAGAGAATGCAGTTCTACGATATCGAATGGGAGAAAAACATGGACAAGTGGTGGTAGGTGGCAATGGACGTGGTGATGGTCTAAATCAACTGAATGGTCCTACAGGCATCTTTGTAGATCAAGACTATTCTGTGTACGTATTGGATTGGGGAAATAATTGTGTGGTAAAATGGATGAATGCTGCTAAAGAAGGGATTGTCGTAGCTGGCGGTCAAAACGAAGGAAATGATATAGCGCGATTGTCTCGTCCACAGGGAGTGATTGTTGATGCATCAGATACAGTCTATGTGGCAGACGGATGGAATAATCGAATAATGTGCTGGTGTAAAGGAGCTACAGAAGGAAACATCATTGCTGGTGGAAATGGTCGAGGAGATAAGGCAAACCAGTTGCATGATGTCATGGGCTTATCATTTGATCGAGATGGAAATATCTATGTTGTCGATCAAAAGAATTATCGAATACAAAGATTCAATATCAGAATAAATCGAGCTTGAATATGAATGTTATCTAATAGTTGATTTCTGTTTATTTTTTTTTCTAATGGTGAAATGAAGAGAAGAAATCTCTCGACTAAATATTGGAATTATTATTAGAATAGAATATGAAATAGTGCGATTTGATGATGTGTTTTTTATTTGTCTCTTTTGGCTACTCAAACAGCTGCACTTCGTTCGATGCCTAATTTTGACTTGGAAAACAAAGTGAAGATGTAAATATTGATGTCACCCATACCCCTCTATACAAAAATATAATCAGTTTTATAAGCCGAAGGGTGTGGGTGTGGGTGTGAGTGTCACTTTGTGGGTGTGAGTAGAAATAAGACTGACACCCGCATTCACATCCACACACCCACATCCTTCTATAGTCTTGATTAATGTATAGGAATATTCTATCGTATTGGTATACAATTAATCTTTTCAATTATTCCTTAGTGAAAATTTTTCATTTTTTTTGCCTAACTGTTCTAGACGGGACAGATGGAACTTGGATCGACTATGTGTTACTAATCAATATAATAAACAATATCATCTTTTCATTAGTATGGTTCTACTTAATGTTTTGTATTATTCGATTTAATTTATAGTTTGCTTTGAACATTCTTCTACTGAATACTCGGTCTTTTCTTGATCAGCATCTCCGAGCACACGATTTGACGATATGTTAGACAGTCGAGCAGTACAGGAATTCGTCGAACGATGTCCAGCAGATGTGATATTTATGTTCAGATTATATGAAGTAGAATTAGGCAATACATTAACGGGTGAAATTATCGATCAACTATTTATTCTGTTCAAAGCAAATTATATTTAAAGAGAATATTCATTTGTAATAGAATTACCATAACTCGTTAATATTCATTTTGCAGATATTGATACTTATGTAGTTGTTGTTTGTAGTTTTTGTTGATAGAGAACAAAAGGTAACATCATCAAACAAGAATCATATTTATTCTCTCGACTGAAGGAAGAGTCCTATGAAATAAAATGAGTTTGCTTGGTTGCTTACTTGTATGTTTCGTTGCACATATAAACTCATGTGTACAGATATATTTCTAAGGATTTTGAGCACCTATTTGAAAGAAGATATTGCATACTAGCGATCCGGTCAAAAGATGCTTTTGTGGCGTCGGCCTCAATCAATCAGACTACTTTGCTCTCTCTGGGCTATGCAACCACAAATGTTTTCAGTACCTAGCTCTCATGCAATCAGATATTATCTCTATACAGTCCTTCCGCAACAACCTTTTCTCAGGCTTGGAGTTGAGCTGATCAAGTTTTTTTCGGGCTGGGAGTTTATCCAATGATATACTTTCAATTATGATCTTCCTTTAATCAAGTGTTTGGTAACTGAGGCTATATGCAGTCATGCGTATTTTCTCTATGTTTCTAGACAGTCGCATTTTTTGTGGGCGTGACTCCTGTCAAACAAATGTTTTCAGACGCAGTTCCAATGCATCTGAGGCCTTTGGCTCGAGTTTAACAAGTGTGATTTTCTTATGATATTGTTACCCGATCGAATACGTTCTGCGATATGGTAACAGTCAAAAGTTAAGAAAGAAGAAGATGATAGTAGGGAATTGAAATTGTTTTTCGATGTCGACTGTATTGATATTCGAATGATAATAAATGCGATTGTCGTATAGGGAAAAATTTCATCATTTATTATTAGAATTATATGACTTCCGTGGAGTTTATTTATAGAAAATATGGAGCTGCTGTAGCATATTATACGCAATAACAGCGATCAAGTACGATAAAAACGAGTTTTCGATTTTGAGTCGCCGTAAAACATTTCGTTTTAGATAAACTGAAATGATCATTTTCTTGGAACTAATCACAGAGAAGTAGCATCCACATAAGCGACAACAGGAATAAGAACAATTTAAACTATGTCAACTGGCAATATTTTGGCAGTGAATGAAAACAATAATACTGGGAACAAGTTAGTGTTTATGTTGTTGAGTTGATGGAGTATCTCATAATGTATGGTACAATGCGATTGGCATAGTGACCCATCATTATAGACTCATCCAAGATTCATAGGATGAACTTCATTTGCCGCTATCATATTGTATGATGA